TTTAGGGTTTAAGGGTTTCGGGTTTTTCTTGTGTGTCAGTCTAGTTCGGGGTATCTATGTGACTCGTGCATCCCTTGAGTCTATTCAAAAGCCGACGAAGACAGACGTGGAGTGATTCATGCAGATAGAGCAACAGTAAGCTGTATGGCAGTGTCCGATTGTACATACACAGATCTGGCTCGTGACCTTATGCATGTCTTGTACATACCTACCTTTGTGATCCTTTGTGTTCTGTTTACAAATATAGAGATACTTCGCAAATCCTTTACCAACAGCCTGATGTTCCAAACCCGATGCCCCTGAACTCTGAACCCTAATTTCAGTTCAACAGAAACATCTAAACAGGATAACGACATGTATTAGAGCAGGTTCGAACAGAATAGAGGAGAGTAGATTAGACTAGGATAGAACAGAGTTGAACATAACATGGAGTAGATCAGAAATATCATATGAAATGTCAACGTAGATCTACAAAGCATGTTTAGGGGTTTAGGCATTTGGGGTTAAGTGCTTGTAGGGTTTAAGTTTGGGTTTAGGGTTTAGGGGTTCAGGGTTTAGGGGTCGAGGGTTTAGGGTTTAGGGCATAACACCTCGGAAGTTCGAAGCCCCAAGGTGAACGTTCGTGGCAATCGCCACCGGCACGATTTTTATCAGCCCATCCACGATGCAGCCACTTGACATGTATTATAGAAGCCTAAGTAATTACCTATATTATTCCTTAGGTCTCTTACTAGACGTATACTGTAAAGGAACCCAAAACCCTATTCTAATTCTCAAGGCCCCTCCATCAGGTCTAGGGCGAAGTTCAGGGCTTAGGAGTTGGGGTTTGAGGTTTGGGTTTAGGGTTGTGCTGAACTGCCGTGGGTGGATCAGGATGCATTTGGATTTGGGGAACAGAGTCAGTTTCAAGGTTTCATGCAGATCTATAGGTGTTTGGGGTCGTGGTGCTGCGGCTGCCGGCGGGTAATATAGAAGCCCAAACAATTGCCAAAGTTAATGTTATTTTTATATTACTGTAAGGTTGCCCGAATATCTATTCTGATTATTAAGGCCCCTCTATTAGATGTCGGGATCGCTTGAAAACTGCGTAACCCATTAGGGCCCCTATGGTATGCTGGATTCAGTGTTGTAGGTGACGGTTGCTGCAGGCTTTGATTGCTTCGGCCGGGAAGCTCTGGGCCTTTCCTATTCAAGATCGGGGTTTAAAGTTTAGGGTGTAGGGGCCTCAATAATTACTTATACTATATTTTTTGGGGGGTGCCTTATTAGAATTATAGTATAGTGGGCCCGAAAGCCCTAGACTAATTATAAAGGACCCCTATGTTACATGAGCAGAAATACAATGTGGAGGAGCCCCAGTGAGGAATAATAATGTTGGTAGCATTCAAGCCATTCTACCCTATACCCCTCAAACCCCAACCCTTGAACCCTGAACCCTTAGCCCAGCACTTCCTGAGTATAACCATAGTAGCAGAATATCACCCCAGAAAAACCACCATTCTGTTTGTTAAGCCCCCTACATTCGCCGTGAAGAGTATTCAGCCCACCGCACCCTGAATCACTCCTTTCTAGGCTTATCTTGGGCAGAAAGATGCCGCAGCTCGGCTGAAGACCCTGGGTAAAACGATTCAGAGTGTCGGGTGTCGGGCTTCGGGTGTAAGTTAGGGTTCAGAGTTCAAGGTTTGGGATCTTACCCTGAAGTTGATGATATGGCCATACGGTTGATGATACAAATCCTACAGTACCCATAATAAGGTAATATGCCATAATTCCCATAGTTTAGGGTCCTTAAGGTACTGCGGGGTTTATATCATCAACAGTAGCTCCTAGGGCCTTCCAAACCCTTAAAGCCCTAAGCCGTATAAACCCTAAACCCTAAACCCTAAACCCTAAGCCCTAAATCCTAAACCCTAAACCCTAAAGCTTGAACCCTAGACCCTGAATCCTGTGAGCCCCTGAACCCTAAACCCCAACAGACACCCCAACACCCTGCACCCAGTGACCCTTAGGATTTTAGGGTTTAGGGTTTAGGGTTCTTAACTTCGGCCGAACATGGTGAACCGAATGCAGGGCCTCAGGATCTGTTTTGGGGGTTTAGCGTTTCAATGACTAGTAAGAGTATTCCCTTATAGTTCCGAAATAGCTGTTTACTTTTTACCCTATATAAACCCTAAACCCTAAACCCTAAACCGTGGCTTGAAAATGGGTTATATGCAGCAGCTGTGTCGGCTTTCAGATTGTGGGGTCTTCGTCATGCGACAGCTTTGTTGCCTTGAGTTTTCTACTGTCTCAAAAGCGACGCGGTGGGCTTTACGGGAGCCTGCTACTAGAAATCCGTAGGATCCTTCGTCATTTTGGGGGCTAAGCTATGATGACGGCTGGCGCCACACTAAATCTGTCCAATATCGGTCATTGGGTCGAACTGCTGCGCCTGCTTTATTGTATGGTTCCCTAAACCCTAAACCCTAAACCCTAAACCCTAAGCCAAGAGAACCGAGAGAGCAGCTGATGCTGATGATGCTCGCCTGGCATCTCGCTAAACCAATCAAGGTGTTTAGGGTTTAGGGTTTAGGGTTTAGGGTTGCCGGTGGTTCTAATGCTAACCCTTAGCATCAAAATAGCCCAGAAGCCTTTTATAATAGGGTCTTTGGGCCCAAAAGCCTTGAGATATGAGTCCTTAGAGGCTAAGGGTAAGAGATCGGAAAGAGAGTTTGACAGAAACTCCAAGGTTTCTGTTGATGATGCTCGCCCTTGGCCTTGCTAAATCCGCACAATCACTGGATACGGTTTAGGGTTTAGGGTTTAGGGTTTAGGGCTTTAGGGTTTAGGGTTTAGGGTTTAGGGTGGGTGCTTGCTGATGATGCTCGCCTGGGGCCTTGCTAAATCCGTCCACTGGGTCGAACTGCTGCGCCTGCAGGTGGTTCTAGGGTGTAGGGTTGAAGCTGCTAAGCTCCGAAGCCCCTGCCGAAGCCGTAAACCCTCGACCCGAAACCCTGAATGCCAGACCTTACAGCGCCGGCTGACAGAGGTCTTGTGGCTGCTTGACCATAAGGCAGAGGCGGATGCCGCCAACAAGGCCACTTCGGGGTTGCTGGGTTGGGATCCGTCTATTATTGTTTTTGTTGTTTACTTAGGGTTTAGGGTTTAGGGCTTTACTTGGGTTACCATGTGACGATTTATGTTCGTAAGGTGTGAATACGTAAAAGCATCCTGCTGCCTTTTTCGGGTTGTGTAAGGGTTTGTGAGGGCCTTGTCTTCGCAGGGTTTGGGGGGTACGGGTTTAGGCTTCTGCATTAGGTTTCAACGGGTTGATGGCGTGTGGAATTAGGGTGCAGGTTACGGCGCCTACATTTTGGATATATCCGTCAATTTCGGAACTCCCGTTTTGGGGCGCTCGGCCTGATATTCTGGGCCTCTTATCGGGTTTCATGGGGGCTGCTTCAGAAACTTGGAAGGGCTTTACTAGCCATTCTCATCTCGCACCGGTGCTTTCCAGCCAGGCTACGTAGTGCAGTCAAAAGAGTCTAGCTTGCTGCCATATGAATCGCTGTAGTATAGAAGCCCAAATAATTACCAATAGTACTGTCAGGGATTCCTTATTATCATTATACTATAAGAAGGGAGCCCAGAACCCAATTCTAATTATAAGGCCCCTATATTAGGTGTCGGGATCCATGGAAAACTACGAAACCCAAAAACCCTAGACCCAAGACCTCACAAGAGATATTAATCGAGAGACCTAGTATTTTGGCTTGCTTTTTTCGGAGTACACCATATAGCATGCTATACCATTCCTCAAATCCTTTCTTATAACTAACCCCCTAATACTAAGCACCTTTTTGTTCACGAACGCCTCATTTCAGAGAGAACTCTGAAACTTCTCCCTTAATACTCAATAAGTTGCAAGGCCTGCTTCTTGCGGTTGAAGCAATACTTATGCTCCAGACACGCGGTTTGGGTCAACGCTCTGCAAGAACATGTCGTTTAAAGCTTAGAGTTCAGGATGTAAAGATGATGTAGGGTTTCTTGTTAGATTTAGATCAGAGCCAGAGAGAGGGTTAAGTATTTTCTGGTTTTTCTCAAGGGATGTTGTAGTTTCCGGGTTGCAGGAAGAACCCTTCTCATGAGCTGGGTGCAGTGCCGTTTTCAAGCATCAGCTGAATGAGGATCGTGGTTGGTGAGTCCTCTGGGTCTGGACTACTTTTCCGGGTTCAGGCCGTTGTGTTTTTTTCATGATTCTGCCGCAACCCATAGCCGAGAAATGCCCTCTCAATGACAAGCACATGGGTAGTTCTCTAAACTAGGGTCCCTTTTTAGGTCCCCAATATATATATATATATATATATATATCGGCACTTTTATAAAAAGGACCCCCTAAACAGGAACCCTGAACTACCCACTTTAAAAACCCTAAGCCCCTAAACCCTAAAAAGCACATGAGGACGGCAACACTCCCCTGCACTTCATCGCCCTGGTCGGAGGCGGGCGCTGGAATTTCCCGTAAAAAGGCTCACCCTTACGCGGTTTTGGGTTTAGGGTTTTGGGTTTAGGGTTTAGGGTTTCGGGTCTAAGGACTCATATTTTAAGGGTTTTTTGGGCCCAAAGACCCTATTCTACAAGGCTTTTGGGCTATTTTGATGCCAAGGCTTGCAGTCCTTATGTTTGGAGTCTAAGTTCCTGGCTGGTGACCATACCCTAAACCCTCAACCCTAAACCCTCAACCCTAAACCCTAAACCCTCAACCCTGAACTCTATAACCCTAAACCCTGAACCCTGAACCCTATAACCCTCTCGGGTTTCAGAAATTTCGTGAGAGGCTCTGCCGCGCGACTCCCGAAACCCCAAGCCCCAACTTTAGGGGTTTAGGGTTTAGGGTTTAGGTCCCGAAACCCCAAGCCCCAACTCCATTCCAAATCCTGCTCCGCGAAGAGGACGCGATGGCTTGATGAACGAGGAGGTGGAGGAGGTCCAGTCCCAGGAAGTTGTTGAAAGGGTTTAGGGGTTTAGGGTTCAGGGGTTTAGGGTTTAGGGGTTTAGGGTTTCGGGTTTAGGGTTTAGGGTTTTGAAATTCTAGAAGGGTCTGAAAGGATTCTGTAAGGTATCAGGATCTACCTGGACCCTAAAGAACCAACCTTTTTTCGGGTTCCTTATTTCAAATTCTTTACATAAGTCCTTAAAAAGGTAGGTTCTTCGGGGTTAAGGTAAAGGTTTAGGGCTGTAGACTTGCCGGGTTTCAGGAATTGGGGCCCAGGATTGCTAGGGAGGTTTACGGGAGCATAGACTTGAGGGCGCAGGGTTAAGGTTTAGGGTTTAGGATTTAGGGGGTTTGGTGCACGGTGAGAAAAATTAGTTTAGTGCTTGGGGTTTTGATATAGCTGCAGCCTCAGTCATACTGGTGATGATGCTTATAGTATGCCCATGTACAGGTAGCTTCACATCCACCATAAACATTCGTCACATGCCCCAGAAAGAGCCTTATAGCAACCCTAATTTAGGGAACTAATATCCGAAGGCAAGGGGTTGAGCTCAAAAGCCGAAACCTTTCGCCTTATACCCTGAGTCTTCCTATACCTGCGGAGTCAATCCCTACACCCGGAACCCCAATTTCTCGACCTAAAGCCCTGAACTCCCTTAGCAGCTTGTATCTATGTGCCCTAAACTCTAAACCCTAAACCCTAAACCCTAAACCCTAAACCCTAAACCCTTGGAATCCACGTGGCCCTTCAGCATCCCTAAAAATCAATCCCCCTCCTTCACAAAGCTCAAGGTACCCTTCACTCAAGCAGCACGAAACTCATCTAAGCCAAGGAAGCCTATACTTATTCTAAGCCCCGAACCCTAAACCCTTAGGCCTTCGCCCTAAGTCCCAAAAAACTTCCCCCCAGCCCTAAACCCTAAACCCCAAGAAAGAAATAAGCGGCTCCCTTGGCAAAAGTTGCCCAAAAAGCTTGAGAAGCCATAATTAGCACCCTAAACCATTTTCAACTTTTCAAGAGTCCTGCAGGTTGTTTCGGAGCTCTTGAACCGAAAGGCGAACCTCGATGCGCCTTGCCAGAGAGAGCCCTGTAGGATTGAGGGTTCCTGTACAGGCCTCCATGGGCCCACAACGGTTTCGTGGTGGAGAGTTTGAGGTTTAGGATTGTGGGTTTACGGGGCGTCGGATCTAGGATATGGAACTTATAGGGTTAGGGGATTTGACGGGGTAAGTGGTACACTTTGGTCCTAAAGCAACCATGTATGGGGCTTACTTTAGGGTAGACTGTTGTGAGGATCAAGGATTAGGGTTGCCAAAGAGCCGCAGAGCTCGTGGACGCTACCCCTTTCGGATGTGCACTGCTTTCGAATCGTGCATACCTTAAGAACCCAAAACCCATTTTTTTGTAGGCTCTTATTATAAACCCCAAATATGGGATTTATAGGGACCCTACAAAAAAGTAGGTTTTGGGTTCTTATGGTACTGGTAGCTTGTCGCTGTTCGCGTGTCTTTGCTGTGCTCTTCTTCTCTTGATTCGCCACAAGATGTTTATGCAACTGTCTGCATTGTGGTTCCTTTGTCGAGCCTGGTCGAACTTCAGTCATGGACACAGGTAGCTCCGACATCCGAAATCCTAAACCCGAAACCCTAAAACCCTACCTAAGCCCTTTTGGCTTCGGGTTTGGAGTCTACAGCTTAGGGTTCAGGTTTCTGGGTTTTAAATTGGGTGAATCCTGAAGCATAGTTTCTGGGCTTGAAACACCAAAGCTTCCTTCATTTTAAGCCCTCCAAACCCTAAACCCTCAACCCTAAACCCTAAACCCCAAACCCTAAACACCAAAACCCTAAACCCTAAACCCCTAAA